CAAAGACACTGACAGATGAGTGAATAAGGTAAAGGTAATCATAAAATCAAATTCACTCACGTGAGCAGCATCACTAGCTGGCGTAACCTTCAGCAGTTTCAATGCACTCGTAGCATAATGCAGAGAACCCAGGCTATCAACCTTCTTTTTCAAAACATTCTGGAATTTTAAATATCAAAGTCAAGAAGTTTTAAGTCACTCAAGAAGTCAAGATTGGCGTTGCTCACCTCAAGGATACCAGAGATCCACTTTGTGTCTTCTTCTTCCCAATGAGTGTTGAGTGAGACGGCACAAACTGATGAAATGCTTAGGACTAGAAAAATAATCGGTCTCATTTTACCTGAAAATTAATGTTTTTGAGAAATTATTCATAATACTGTGCAAGGAGGCGGTTATCAAATATTTGGGTGAAAATTACAGACACACAAACGGACAAAAACACTGGTTTCAAATAATTTGAGCCAAATATGAGGCTCTTCCCTTAGCTATACAGAGCCAATTTTACTCTGTCCCACACCGGATCTCGACAGATCCACGACTGGTAGAATACCAGTAGCAGAAGCTCCAGTATGAACTGCGCGCATCCGTTATCGTGTAATCAACGTGTCACGTCGCGAATACTGTCCATGGCAATAGTAATGGCGCAGAATGCGTCCTTTAAACATGGAGTGCAGGGTTGTAGGCATTGCTTTGGGGATTGTTTTTAGATGCAACATTACAGTATGATGTTGGTTTTACAGGAGATTATTAGGACATCGGCAGTTAATAAGAAGAAATTGATTGATTGGCAAATTGATCATTTCCTTTGGAGGCTGAGTTGTAGTAAATATTCCATGGTTATCTTCAGGGAGTGCAAGCAATCTGTGGGTGCATACTGCAAATGTTGGTGCCAAATCATTCCCATCGTTGCCCACTCGTTGTAGAATTTTCATATACTTTGACTCACTCATTGCTGATTTCTTTGCAATCGTGATCTCGAATAAAATTACAATACTTTACTGGAGGAATAAACTTGACCAACAGTGATAAGACCCAGGTAGTGCCTACAGAGCGGTAATGCTGATAATTCCCGCATCTTCAGAAAGTCATGCAAGCGCATATCTGTGATTTTGCGCGAAATCAGAAATCCAACCTTCGATACTACTCCAGCAAAGTCAGCGAAATATAAGGTCCGGAGAAGTTTTTTGAAAACAAAGTCAGCATGATCAGAAAATGTATAGAGTTGGAAAGTCTCGACTACTCATCTACCACGATCTATATGT